TTTGACCTATCCCCGTTAGTAGGCCGCGCTCTCCCACATCTTCACGTCGGATCGGATAAGATGGCGAGTTTTTTTCTCGCGCGATCGCGAGTCAGAAAGATGTCCAATTCCGACGGGTACATACTTGGAGCTGCGGTCTACAATTCGTTTATTCTAGGAAAATAGGGTTTACTACTGTAGCCGAGGGATTTTAGGGGCTAGAAGGCTAGATTAGGGAAGTTCCATGCTAGTGTATCTAGCTTGTTACAACTGTATGCTTGAATTTCTTATTCATTGATTCATTGGATAAACCAAGTAACCAACTTCGCCTATCAGCCAGCTTCTGCTGACCAATGGCCCATCCCTAGAGAAGCTTGAAACACCTACCCCTGCATCATTTCAGCTGCGCCATTAAATTTGAACTCTCGCCTTGCAGACACCTCCCAAGGAGACACCTTCGCACAGCACTCACTCTCAGAGGGAGAGAGAGAGAGTCTCACAGCAATGCGTCACCTCAGCTGCACAGTGCTCCTCACTCCCACACACCTCGTCAACACTCACTCCCTCCATCCCAAGCACCTCATCTTATCTTCCATTCCCCAGAAACAACTCAGCCAAACACTCACTCACTCTCCCTGGGTAACCCCTCACTCACACTCAGTATACTGCACACAGGTATCCTTGCTCACATTCCCCAGCCATTTCAGAACACGAAGAATTGTGAAGGGACAAAAAGGTCAATCGGCCACAGCAGCACATCAGGCATCTCCGCCACTCCCCCATTCCTCCCCTCCCTCCTCTCCTGTTCCACCTCCAGCTGCCTCCTCGCCTCCGCTGCAGCCTCTCTCAACCTTGCAGCCTCCCTCTCCCTCACTCTCTCCCTCCCTCTCGCCACCCTCACTTCCTCTCTCAACCCCTCCACAGCTCGACTCAATTCAGCCACCGTAGAGCTCTTTGCTTCTCTAAACGCTCGTGCTTCTTCCGCCCGGATACGGCTTTCTCTTGCTGCCACCACGACTCGAGTACTGAGCTGCTGTGTCGTCTCTTTGGATTGATGTAACTGCCGGTTCATCTCCCGTTGCAACTCGTGGAGTGCTGCTGCTGTGTCCTCTGCCCGTTCTTCTGCCCGTTCTGCGTCAAATTTTGCAGCCCTGGCCTCTCCTTGGGCAGCCGAAAGTTCCTGCTGTACCTGCACGAGATCCTCCTCCAGCCACGCAACGGTTCGCTCAAGCTGCCCGCATTGATCTAGGGCAGTCCAAAGATCCTGGCGCAGAGCTTCAGCTTCGGAAGCCAGCCGAGCCTGCTCAGCTTCAGCAGCAAACAGCTTATTCCGAACCTCCTCCACAGCTGCAGCAGCAGCCTCGGCTCCAAAAACCGCTTCTGAAGCTCGGCCCCTCCCAGCCACTCCAGCAGCCTCGGCCCGAAGCAACTCGTCAGTTCGCGGCCGAAGCTGACTCACCTCCTCGTCTTGCTTGACCAGCGTTGACTGCAAATGCCGGATGAGGATCTTGAGCCGTTGATTCTCCCTGTGCATGCGATCTAGGCCGTCCAGCAGCCAATTGGTTCTGTCCTCTTCTGGTATGTATGCAAACTTCTGACGCCAAGTCATTGGCTCTGCGCTTCCCCTGCCGATACCCCGCCCACCTGATGATCCTTCCCCGGCATCACCAGCAGTACCACCAACACCATCACTACCAGCACCGGCACTAGTACTGATAGCAGCAGAAGCAGCAGCAGCACTGCCAGCAGCAAAGCCTGCAACAGCGCCCCCGCCACCATTGCCACCGCTGCTCATACTCATCGTCCTCTCTAAAAGCAGATCCACATCAACACCGCTGCGCAGCGCCGCCACCCCCTCTACCCCCTCCAACTGCACCATCAACTCCGCAACCCTCTCCTCCGCTGCTCTCTGCCTCTCTTCCGCCTCCCTCACTGCTGTTTCCACCTGAGATTTCACCTGAGCTTCCTGGTCCACCTGAGACTGCAGTCTGGAGATCTGCTCCTCTGCTACAGCCAGATCTACCTGAAGCCTGCCCGCCCTCTCGTCTGCTTCATTCTTCTCCCCACTCACTCGCTCAAGTTCCTCCAGTGCAGATTGCAACGTGTCACTTACACCCTCCACTCTTCCCCCTACTCCTCCTTCTGCTCCGTCTCGGGTTCGGGCAGCATCAAAAGATCTCTGCAGCCGCTCATTCTCTGCTTTCAGCCGAACTATTTCTTCCCGGGCAGCATTCAAGCTCCCGTCCAGCTGCCTCAACAAAACAGTCTCGTTTCCCCTCCCCTGCCATCCCTCCTCTCCTCCTCCACCCTCCTCTCCCCCACTCTCCCTCCACCCCCCTTCACTCCCCCCTAACACACGTTCTCCTCCTCCCTCCCACCCACGCCTGTCTTGATTTCCTGTACTCTTTGCCACACGGTCTGATTCACTGCTTCTTATCACATCCAGCTCTTTCCTAAGCTTGCTATTTTCCTCCCTTAAGCGACCGCTCTCAGCTAAAAGTGCCTTCAGTCTTTCACGCTGCCCTTGCCCGTCCTCCAGCACTTGCCCGAGCTCCCCCTGGGCAGCCGCCAAAACCCGTTGCGCCTGTTCATTCTCATCTTTCAGCTGCCCGACCTCCTCCAGCAGCCTTTCATTCTCCTCCCGAACCTCATCAGCTTCGGCCCGAGCCTTTGCAGCTGCAGTCAGGGACTTCCGAACCTGCTCCCCAAGCTTCTCATTTTCTTCCATATATTCCCCGACCCGTGTCTGCTCATCGATCAAACTCTCTTTCAAAATTTCCAAATCTGCCCGAAGTTCCCTCGCCTCTTCACTCGCCTCTTTCAACCCTTCTGCCAACTCCCTCCCCTCCTCCTGTGCACCTGCCAGCTCAGCACGAACCACCGCCAGCTCAGACCGGGCAGCCCGAACTTCTTCCTGAGCTGCCCGAAGCTCCGTCTGCAGCTGCAATATCTGCCCGTTGGACTGGGATAGCCGTTCCTGTGCCTGCGCCTCTGCCTGTGCCTGCTCCTGTGCCTGTACCTGTTTCAGCTGTCTCTCCGCCTGTTCCAACTGCTCCTGTGCGTGTGACAACTGCATATGAACCTGACCCTTGCTCTCTTCCACCCGTGCCACGTCATCCCACGCACTCTTCAATGATCGACGTAGCTCGGCGTTTTCTTCCCGCAGCGTGGAAGCTTCCTCCTGGGACGCCTGCAGCAGCGACTGTAAATCGAGCAAGGCGGAAATCAGCTGCTGTTGCTCTACTCCGGATTCTGCTCCTGCTCCTGATCCCAGTTTTCCAGCAGCATTAGCTGCAGCGGCTTCAGAAGCAGCACCAGAAACACGGCCTGGTAAACTAGCTCTCCTCCCATCGCCTCCTCCTGTATCTCCGAACCCCTCTGTACCCCCTAAAAGCGTGAAAGTACTCCTTCCCGAAAGTGCGCTGCTGGTGTCAAAGTTATCCCACGTGGACGCCTCTGATTGGCCTTCTTCCAGATCCTTCCACTTCACCTGCCTCTTAGGCTTCTCTGTTAAATGAACTAGACTGCCGAACCTACCGTCAGGTTCGGCAACCCCCGCGGAACGTGCAGGTTCGGGTGGAGATTGCGAAGGCTGTGCAGCACCGGGGGAGTATTTCTCCCTTAGCCGCTGGAGAATGCCGTCCACGTCCATGTTATCCCCGTTATTGTCCATGAGGGTGGAATCTAGAGCGAGCTGCTTTTGAATCAACGGAAAATCAAATAATAACAACAACAAAATTGCAGAGTGCTTCCGCTCGCGAACAATGTGGTGTGACGGAGAGAGAAGAGCAGACAATGTAGTCACGACTGCTGGATAAACCACCTGCAAGGACTAAGTGACGCTAAGAACAAAAGTATGCGAAATGACCAAGCGAACGAGCAAAGCCGCGATGCCGACGAAAGGAAGAAATGCCGTTATACTCGTTACTTAGGTCGCGGTGCGGGGATGGCGGTGGGTGTGACCACTAATTAGATGCGTCTGGTGGGGCAAATGTGGTCACTTGGTCTGGACGGGAAAATATCTGCGATGTGCGATGTGCTGTGGTTTTGCTGTGCCTGTGTGTGCGAAAGGGTTGCTTGGTTGCAGGTTTACGGGTTGACGATGTCGCGAAGGCGGGTAATTGCGAAATCTGAATAGCTGGCGAGTTTCGTCATCTCTCCTCACCAATCCTTCTCTAAAGTCGTGCACCAATCCGACCTGGAGGTTTTTTGTCAACTGCGAAACACTTTGGTTACCTTCTCTAAAATTCGCCAGGCCTCTGATAATTTGTCCCACCACCTAAACCCTGACCAGAAGTATTTCGATCTCAGACAATTTAGCACCAAAACGGCCTGTCTGCAATGCGTGAGAGTCATAACATAAGTTAAGACTAGGGACCGAGAACCGAACGGCTGAAGGCAGAAGATGGGTGTGACGAAGAAGATTCCAGCTCGGAAGGGCGGCGATACGAAGAGACGAGTTACCAGCAACAGCGACGACGAGGAGGAGAAAGACGTAGAGCTAGACGCGTCGATCCAGGCGCTGCTGCAGAAACGACTGGAAGAACGAGGCAAGTTGCGACTAGTAATAACCTTCGAACGGGATGATTTTAGCCGTTGCCGCACCAGTTGCAATGTTACAGGAGGCCCCGACAGAAATTATATCTCGTGAGCGTGGTTGGATCAGGGGGGGCGGGTGCACCGGTGGGGAGTATCGTGCATTTTGCTCTGATATGATGGGGTTAAGAGCTGTAAGCTCCCTCTCGAAAGAAGGCATGTCGCTAATAGCGAGGCGACTACTATCGCCAACTGCAAGAATGCGTCAGTGAACCATGCGTCAGGGTTTCGGGGTTTACCCTGGGAGGTTTAGGTCTCCTATGGGGTTCTTCTGCTGTTTTATGGTGTCTCCGCAGAATTAAACCTTAAGCTTGTGTCAATCTTGCAACTTCCAAACTGTAGCTGTAACTGTTGTGTTATTGGTGGGGAATAACCGTAACTGAAAGTGTAACTGTGTTTGTAACTGGAACTGTACCGCAGGAGAGATGTTCATGAGCATGTTCCAAGACGATGAGCGTGGCGAGTCAGCAAATGGGTCACTCCAGCCGGCTGCCACGTCAGCAAATACACCAGGTCAGGTACGTCAGGAGAAAAAATGTCTTTCCCTTTTCTCCCTTCTCTTCCTTCAATTCTCTCCTCCTTCCGTTCTTCTTTCCTTCCTCCTCGTACGTCCATTTTCAAAAGGCAATCAGTCATCAATTTCAAAAGTCACGCTCATCCCATCCTCGCCACATCCTCTCCCCATTCTTCCCCCATCCTCCCCCATCCTTCCCCCATTCTCCCCCCATCCTCCCCCCATCCTCCCCCATCCTTCCCCCATTCTCCCTCCATCCTCCCCCCATACTCCCCCCATCCTCCCCCCATCCTCCCCCCATCCTCCCCCCATCCTCCCCCCATCCTTCCCCCATCCTCCCCCCATCCTTCCCCCATTCTCCCTCCATCCTCCCCCCATACTCCCCCCATCCTCCCCCCATCCTCCCCCCATCCTCCCCCCATCCTCCCCCCATCCTCCCCCCATCCTCCCCCCATCCTCCCCCCATCCTTCCCCCATCCTCCCCGTCATCCTCCCCCCATTCTCCCCTCCCCAACACTTTTCACACGCTCTGCAACAGACCAGCCGGGCAGCACCACAATCAGCAGCAGCACGGGCCGTTGATCGGACTCGATCCAACGGCTCCGCAGCAGCAGCAGAAGCACGACCAAGCACCGCCACAGGTGCGCACAATGGCTCTGCTGCATTTCCAACGCTCTCCCATTTCCAGGACTCTGGGTTCTGGGGTTTTGGGATTGGTGCAGATTCGGGTTTTCGCGGTTCCTAGTTTCAAAATCTCTGGGTTTATTGGTCTCCTCACCACCTTTCACGCTGTCGAACACCCCATGCTTTCGATTTGTGGGGGTTTTTGTCGAACACCCCACCCCAGTTTTCACCCGAACAGCTCCCAAGGGTGTAGTACAAATATACACTCTGTACCCTGTCCTAGACTTGAAACTTTCAAAGCCCTGGTTCTGTGTTGACATCTGAATTTTGGGCTTTGACCAAGGAGTGAAAGATGGGCACATGCGTGGGTGGGCTGTGTCGGATTTTGGCTGCTGCTGAGCCTGGCATTGCCTTCTCTAGAAGACATATCAAGAAATCACTCGCACCTTCTTTAAACTTGCCTCATTGAAAATACACCTCAACGCACGTGGGTTTAGGCTGCTGCTGAGCCTGGCTTTGCCTTCCTTAGAAGACAAATCAAGAAATTTCTTGGTTGTGTGTAAGGCCCTTAGCCTGCCTTCCTTTTTTGAGAATTCTCAAAAAACATACGCTGTAAGGCCCTTAGCCTGCCTTCCTTTTGCCCACCCATCTGTCTTGCGCCTTTCATGCCTCTCCTGCACATTTTTTTAGGCGGCACGGGCAGCATGCTGCCCTTGTCAACTAAAAAACATGTATTTTTTTGCTATCTGCCCGTGTGTCTTCGCCTTCCTGCCCCTCCTGCAACCCATATCAGGCGGCAAGGGCAGGCGGGTAGCTGATGATGTGAAAGTGGGGCAGAGGGAGAGACGGCCCTTGGTTGGGAATGGGAATGGGAGTGTGGTGCAGAGTGTGATTGTGGGGCGGAGTGGGAGTAGAGAAGGAAAGGAGGAGAAACTAGAGGAGGGAGAGGAAGAGGGGGAAGAGGAGGAGGAGGGGGAGGAGGGGGAGGAGGATGAAGAGGTGGAAGATGAGGAAGAGGAGGGAGAGGAGGAAGTGGAGGAAGAGGAAGAAGAGGAGGAAGAGGAGGAGGAAGAGGAGGAAGAAGAAGAGGATGAGGAGGAGGAGGGTGGGCGTGTGAGTGGTCCGGAAGTTGTAGTGTTTCAGGAAGGGAGTAACCTCAAGAAGCAAGCAACACGTGTCAAGCTCCTATTGGGCGGCCAGATCAGCAGCAGGAAGGAGAGGAAGCTCTTTATGGTGAGCTGAGGGTGGGGCTGGTGTGCTGGGGTGGAGTGAGGTGTTGTGCGGCGCAATGCAGTGTGGTGCGGTGCGGTGTGGTGTGTTTTCGTTGAATATAGGAAGTACAGTAAAAAATCCGAACTCACTGCAAGAGGTCGGAGCGGAGTGTAGGCAGCGGCGCAAAATTTCTGCCAGAGGGGAGACGGAGATGTAAAAAAGCCCTTGTTTTTACCCTCCCCCCAGTCGTCCAAGGTGGCCAATATCTTCAGGGATCCCAACGCGCCGGTGGAAGAACCAGAGGGGAGGCGGAGGAGAGGGAGGGGGCGGGCGGGGAAGAAAGAGGAGGAGGACGAGGAGGAGAAGGAGACTCGGCTGCACATGGAGGAGTACATTGCGATTGCGAGGGAGACAGAGCGGTTGGGAGTGTCAACGATGGAGTGGAACCAGCGCAAGCAGTGGGAGACGAACCACATCGTGCGCCACCTGGGCGTCAAGGTGAGTGTGTGTGGGGGGATTTGCGCTGCGTGTGTGTGGGTGTGTGAGTGTGCTGTGTGTGTGCGTGTTCTGCGTTCGCTGGAGGGGTGGGGGTTTGAGTGAGTCGGCTCGAATGGCTTTCCTGACAGCAGGGGCACAGCAGCAAGCAGGTGGGAGACAGAGCGGTTGGGAGTGTCAACGATGGAGTGGAACCAGCGCAAGCAGTGGGAGACGAACCACATCGTGCGGCACCTGGGTGTGAAGGTGAGGTTCATGTGTGTGTGTGTGCTTTCATGTGCATGGCGCCTCAAGAGTCAGGGGCACCGCAGCAAGCAGCTGGCGCCACAACTGCAGTTGGGAGACAGTGCGGTTGGGTGTGTCATGTCAACGATGGAGTGGCACCAGCGCAAGCAGTGAGAGGCTAACCATGTTAGCATCTGGGAGTCAAGTTGACTCCCCTTCCTCCCACTCCGCCTTCATAGCCCAGTATTTTTTAGAATTCTCAAAAATACTCTGCAAGTTGACTCCCCTTCCTCCCACTCCGCCTTCATAGCCGCCCAAGCGTATGAGCATGGACATAGGCGCCACAGAGGGATCATACATTCCATGCTTCTCATTGGTGTCACTTTTGAGAGTTCTCAAAGCTAACACTTTCGTTCCATGCTTCTCATTCTACCCTCTCACCTCACCCCTGCCGCACTCCCGCTCACGCACAGCCCCCAAACGCATGAGCATCTTTTGAGACGTCTCAAAAGTCCCGCTCACGCACAGCCCCCAAACGCATGAGCATCTTTTGAGACGTCTCAAAAGTCCCGCTCACGCACAGCCCCCAAACGCATGAGCATCTTTTGAGACGTCTCAAAAGTCCCGCTCACGCACAGCCCCCAAACGCATGAGCATCAAGTCACCTGCACGGGGAATTAGTCCTCCCCATGCTTCTCACTCTTCAACCCATCCGCCTGGCGCCCTCCCCCCTTCTCCCCCCCCCCCCCCTCCCCCCAAGCCGCCCAAACGCATGAGCATGAACATTGCTGCTACGGAGGGGTATCGATCGGTGCAACGGAAGAAGCGACTGAGGGAACTGGAAGAGGTGGGTGAGGTGGTGGGAGGAGGGTGGGAAGAGGTGGGTTGATGGGGAAGAATGAGTGGAGGGAAAAGGTGCGAAAGGGTAGACATTTTGCTGTGATGTTCACGACCTTCCAGGAAGTGGCCTCTTGACATGACACACCCAACCGCACTGTCTCCCAACTGCAGTTGTGGCGCCAGCTGAAGGGAGGGAACCCGCGCGACAAGAAGAGCAAGCACAGGCGGCTGGGCCAAGGCACTCTTTCCTGGTTGCTGGCAGAGGAGGAAGAGGCCAAAGAAGGCCGCCCACGAACGAACCACCTTGTAGCACCACCCTCCTCTCCCTAACCCTCCTTCATCCCTTGCTTCCCTTGCTACTCTCCCTTGCATTTCCTGTCCTGACCCTTCCAGGAAGTTGCCTCTGGTATGATCCAAGTGAAGGGAGGAAACCCGCGCGACAAGAAGAGCAAGCACCGGAGGCTGGGGCAGGGCACTCTAGCCAGGCTCCTAGCCGAAGAGGAAGAGGCCAAAGAAGGCCGCCCGAGAAAGGCGCGTGTTGATTGGCGGGCGGAGGAGAGAGGGCTTAAAGCCTCGGATGGGGATTACCAAGGTGGGGTGTTGCATGTGGATCCGAGGAAGTGGAAGATTGGAGGGGATGGGGGAGGAAGGAAGGGAGGGGTGATTGGGGATAAGGATTTGGGAGGGTTTGGCGGAGGGGGGAGGAGGAGAGGGGGTAGTGGAGGGGGGAAGGGGAAGAAGAGGGGTTCGGGAGGGAAAGGGAGAGGGAAGGGGAAGAGGTCGAGAGGGAGGAGGTAGTGTGTGTAACTGTGTCCTTGTTATGGTTGACTGATACGGTAGTCATAGTCTTTTAACAGGCACTGTTATTATTGCTTCGGCAAGTCTACCTTTTTTGTTCCTTGACAGACAGACCATGCTGCTGGTTCGACGCAGTGCACAAGAAATTGATTCAATCAAGCCAGGACACAGGACACACCAAGGAACTTTTGAGGGGCCTCAAAAGTCAAGCCAGGACACAGGACACCAAGGAAGATAATGATGACAGCCTCTGCTCTCTTCATTTCACCTCTGATCATGATATGTCCTGCTCTGTGCAGCAATGGCTCCATACCTAAAACATATCATCAGCATTTGGGGGTTTCGGGTCTAAGGAGGCACAGTACTACATGTTGGGAATAATAAGTCTTAAGCGCCTCTATCATGTCGAAACTCAGGACACTAGCGAAGCAGTCCGAATCGAAGCATCGCGAGTCAACCCTCGGAGGTTAGGGTAACCGCCTGGAGGTTACGAGAAGGTCAAAGGTCAGCGACCTTTTGACTTGACAAATACAGCGCGACAGCAAGGACACACAACTGACTCGACTTTGAGCAGTTGCCCGAGTCGCACTGTATCGAATCGCAACAGAAAACCGGTTTTAACTTATCTATTCGTATTCCTTGTACTCTTATATAAACCTATGTATTTGCTTGTTTAATTAACTTACTTTGCCCTCACATACTAGCGCAAGGTGGTCCAAGTATTTTCATTCAAACGCTTCCGCTACTACAATTCTACTCAGACTTAAAACTCTACAAAGATCCTAGGGCACTTCAGCCCAACATGGTATGAGAGCAGTTAGAGTTTTAAAGTTGTTTTCCTTTTAACACTCAATACAAGAAGACATGTCTGCAAGGAAGGAGAGGAGCTCCTCCAACGGCTCTCCAGGCACTACTCCTACTCCACCTCCTGTCTCTGGTCTACAGACAGAGGAAGGGACTACCACGAGACCAGCAGCTGGGTCTACGGAAACGCCCGCAGGCTTCGATCCAAGCATGATGGCGTACACGATACTGCTGAGGAACATCACCCCGACCCAGCAGCAGAACATCAGGACTTACCGAGGCTACGGCAACTCCGCGGAGCTCGCGTACAACCACCTGAAGAACCTGTATCAAGCAACAGACAGCGTAAATCAAAGCAGGTTAATGGCGCAGCTGACAACGATTGAAATGAAACCAGGCGAGAAAGGCATGGCTTATATCAGCCGCTGTCGCGAACTGCGCGACAAGCTTCTTCGATGCGGCGGGTCGATTTCAGAAGACGCCTTTGTCACGGTGGTCATCGGCGGTCTCGGCCCCCACTGGCGCTCCACTCGCGCCATATTACGAGCACACGGGAGGATTTCCGAAGCGGCACTCTGCGCCGAAATTCATGCTGAGCAGCAAGACATGGACCTGCAAGAAGAAAGACACAAGAAGAAAGCATTAGCACCAGAGTTTGCGTTTCACACTCAGCGACGATACAACAACAACAACAACCGTCAACAACAAGTAAAGACAGTACCTCCGTTCTGCCACATCTGCAAGACTTCGGGCCATCCTCGCACGCACTGCCCGTCTCGTCAGACAACACCACAGCGACAACTCCGGCCTTCAAGCTCCCAAGTTGCTTCAACGCAAGCAAGTCCGACGACCACAATCCAAGCTTCAACGACTTCAACTGGACAACCTGCACAAGGAACAAGAAGCATCGTCAATTGCATGGTGAAGATAACCGATTCGTGCACAACCAAGTCACCACCCCACTACTCACCGGAAGAAGAGCTCGACAACAGGACGCCTCGCCGCGAATCACTCCAGCCGAATCCGACGTACGCCGCCATCGCTCAAAGCGAACCATCCGGCCAAGACACTTGGTTCTTGGATAGTTGCTGTGGACAACACATGTGCTCCTCCGGGCGCTTCGTTCAACGCGAACATCGACTCCAGCGAGAAGTAGTCATCACGGTCGCCAACAATCAGAACCTGCGCACACGACGACAAGGAGCGGTACAGCTTCAGTCACGAGAAACAAATGTCATATTACACATGTCAAAGGTACTTATCGCAGAGGGACTAGGCTACAAGTTACTGAACGTCAGCCAGTTGATGGCGAAAGGCATCCACTTGGAAGCCGACAGCACCACCCAGGAGTTTAAGTTATACCACGGTAAGGGCGGCCTCTACATCGGAAAAGCAGTGTTGAAGAATAACGTCTTCGTCCTCGATTTCGTCCCCGACCTGGGCACTGCAGACAGTGACGCCATCGTCAACTTCACCGACTGGACTCATCCTCCGGATCTCGATCCCGACTTCAGCCCAGGAGGTTTCTGGTACTCGCACACCATCCCTGAAGCAGAACGAACACGAGCATTAGCAACGATTCAACAAACGACAGCAGCAGAGACAACATCGACAGCAGCAGAGACAACATCGACATCAGCAGAGACAACATTGGCAGCAGCAGAGACAACATCGGCAGCAGCAGAACCATCATCGGAAGCAGCAGGACCAACGACACCAGTCATCGAAACACCACCAACACCCGCACAACAGCTGAACCCGACTCAACGAGAAGTCCACCGAAGCGCAAACATCGTCGCCAACTTCTACTCCAACTCTGACGCGTATCAACGCTCACCCGGACATCGCGCTCCTGAAGACATCTGGCACGCACGCACAGGACATCAAGCAATACGGTGTTAAACAACACGATACGAGCAGGAGTTCTAGACAAGGATTCGCTACTACTACTCGAAGGCAGAGAACTTCAACGTGCACGAGGGACTTGCCTCATCTGCCCCGAAGCCGACTTACCCCATCGACCGTTTTCCTCTCACCACAACCCGAGCGCACCTGCATACGCACCACTCGAGAAAGTTTACAGCGACATCCTCTACAATCGATAACCAGGACAAGTCACCTACAATTACATGATCACCTTCATCGACGCCGCCACTCGATACGTCTGGCATCGCAACCTACCCAGCCGCGACATGGCACTCGCAGCATTCGCCGCTTGGCTACCGGTAGCAGAGAGGGAATCAGGAACACAACTGAAAAGCTTCCAGTCAGACGGAGGAGGAGAGTACACCTCTCAGCGCTTCAAGCAGTACCTGGCGGAAAGAGGGATCAAGCAACTCCTCTCCCTTCCCTACGCACATCAGCAGCAAGGTGTTGCAGAAAGAATGAACAGGACTCTGCAGAACAGCATGCGCAAACTGCTACGTGGCATGCGGCTACCCAACCACCAGTGGCCTGCAGCAATGGACCATGCTGTCATGCTGCACAACTTGTTGTCGTCGTCGTCACTCCCGAACAACGCCTCGCCGCATCTGCTGTGGACAGGGAAGCTGGGCAGCACAAGAATGTTACGAGTTTTCGGATGCATGGTACAGTACAGACCCCCAGAAGCACGAGCGGGAAGATTTTCACAACGGGCACAGTGGGGACTACACCTCGGCATCGAGAAACATTACAACGCGTGGAAAATCTTCGACGTCCACACAAAGGAAACAGTAGCAGCACGTGATGTAATCTTCTACGAGCGACTCACCCTTCAGACGTACCTCGCCAACTTGCACGAGAATCGGGACCTCACAGGTGGCTTTCGTGGTGACCGAGCCTTCGCCTCAGCAGCGGACGAAGCAGACTGGGATGAACAGAGCGTCGACAACGCATCGGAAGAAGCCGGACCTCTCCCGTACTGCTCCGTCGACGTGCCCATGGACGAAGAAAATCCTCGCGACAGTAACAACGCTGAAGTCTTCTATCACTTCGCCGACAACGGTTACGTAACACCTGCGACAGTCAACACAAATGAAGCAGAAAGGATAGGGCCAAATTTCATACCCGATCCAGAAGCAGGAGACGAAGCAGCTTATCCCGAGGATACAACACTCCCCCGATACTCACAGACTGGGCTGCAAATCCTTGGTCTCGTCACCGCAGTCCACGGGAACACAGGCAGCACGCTTCCTAAAGAGCCTGCGACGGTTCAGCAGGCTCTGGGGGGGGAACACAAGGAGAAATGGCGTGAAGCCATGGACAGGGAATTAAAAGCATTAGAGGAACGCAACACCTGGAAGGTCGTTCCCGCAAGCGTGGCACGGAACAAGACCATTCTCACCGGGAAATGGGTCTTCCGCATCAAGACGAAAGCTGACGGCACAATCGAGAAGTTCAAAGCACGCTGGGTCGTGCGTGGATTCGACCAGGAGCAAGGACGAGACTTCACCGAAACATTCGCCCCAGTCAGTCGACATACCTCTCTCCGAATCCTTCTCGCCGTCGCCGCCATGAAGAAGAAGAAGCTGCGACAAATCGATGTTGCCAACGCATTCCTCTACGCACCCGTCGACGCCGAAATCTTCGTCGAACTCCCACACGGCACTCACGGAAATCCTAATCAGATCTTCCAACTACTGAAATCGCTCTACGGAATCAAACAAGCCCCGCGACTGTGGCAACAGCACCTACACACCCGCCTCACTCGCATCGGATTCCGCCAACTGCCTCACGACCAAGGAATGTACCGCCTCACCAAAGGCGCAGACTACATCCTACTGATCGTCTATGTCGACGACTTGCTCTACATCGGCTCCACCGACGACGTCACCACCTGGTTCGAAGGGGAGCTGCAGAAAGACCTCACGCTCACGGTCTCTTCTACCGTGACCCAGTACCTCGGGCTCAACATCCGCGAAGAAGAAAATGCGATCTACCTAAGCGCCGAGAAATACGCCGACACCATCGCCAAACGTTTTTCACTCACACCTACCGCCATCGCCACACCATACCGCTACACGGCAGGAAACGACAAGGGAAATTCCGCTCCACTCAAAGCTGCCGGAATACGAGACTACCAAAGGAAACTGGGCTGCCTTCTCTTCGCAGCTGTCACCTGTCGCCCGGATCTATCCTACTCCGCAAGCCAACTCGCCACCTATCTCAAGAAATCCGAAGCAAAGCATCTGGCGGAGCTCGATCTCGACTACACT